GAGAGAGAGAGAGAGAGAGAGAGAGAGAGAGATTTACTGTAGAGACAAGGTCTCACCAAGTTGCCCAGGCTGGTCTTGAAATCCCGGGCTCAGGCAATTCCTTTGCCTGGGCCTCCCAAAGTGCTGGGATTATAGGCTGAGACACTGCGTCCAGACAATGTAATATTTCTTATCCATTAGACTAACACAATTTAGAAAGGAAGGTGAACATGCACTGTGACCTCACAGTTTCCACCTAAGAATTGATCCTACCAAAATCTGGGAAGAGATACACCAAGATGGATAACAGTACCCACATTCAGGACACATTCACACAACAGAATATTCGGCAGCCATTTAAAAAAGGAAGGAGCAAATCTTCATGTACTGATAGTTATGTTAAAAAAAAGCAAATGGCAGAAAAGTGTGTCTGGCATGAAGTCTTTTTTTGATAAAACAAAACAGAGGCCGGGTGTCATGGCTCATGTCTATAATCCCAGCACTTTGGAAGCCCAAGGCAAGAGGATTGCCTGAGTACAGGGGTTCGAGACCAGCCTGGACAACTTAGTAAGACCTCACCTCTACAATACCTGCTGGGCTCAGGCAATCCTTTCACCTTAACCTTCCAAGCAGCTGGAACTATAGGCATGTACCACCATGCCCGGCTAATTTTTTTATTTATTGTAGAGATGAGGTCTTGCTATGTTGTCCAGGCTAGTCTTGGACCCACAGGCTCAGGCAATCCTCTCACCTCAGCCTTCCAAAGTGCTAGGATTATAGGCATGAGCCACTGTGCCCGGCCTAGGTTTTGAATTTCTAACAAGACACATGTTACCCATTTTAAAAAAGTACCTTAAGCACTCCAGTCTGGGCACCAGAGTGAGACTCCGACTCAAAATAAATAAATAAATAAAAATAAGTACTTTAAAACCTCATAATTTTTTTTTGAGTCGGAGTCTCACTCTGTCACCCATGCTGGAGTGCAGTGGCATGCTCATGGCCACCACAGCCTCGACCTGCTAGGCTCATGTGATCCTTCCACCTCAACCCAGCCTTCCAAGTAGCTGGAACTATAGGCACGTGCTACCACCCCCAGCTAATTTTTTTGATTCATTGTAGAGAAGAGGTTTTGCCACGTTGCCCAGGCTGGTCTCAAACCCATGGGCTCAGACAATCCTCTTCTGCCTCCACTTCCCAAAGTGCTGGGATTATAGGCATGAGCCACTGCGCCCAGAAAACACCCCATTGTTTTTTTTGGGGGGGGTTAGATTTTCACTCTTTGTGGCCTAGGCTGGAGTGCAGCAGCACGCTCACAGTCACTGCAGCTTTGACCTGCTGGGCTTAGGTGATCCTTCTACCTCAGCCTTCCAATAGCTGGAACTACAGACATACGCCACCACGCTCGGCTCATTTTTCTTGATTTATTGTAGACATGAGGTCTCGCCAGGTTGCCCAGGCTGGTCTTGAACCCATGGGCTCAGGCAATCCTTTCACCTTGGCCTCCCAAAGTGCTGGGATGATAGGCGTGAGCCACTGTGCCCAGCCCAAAACCCCATTATTTTTACATACACAAATCTCTTTTCTGTTTTTGTTTTTTTGTGTGTTACACAAGTCTCTTCATCTCTACCTTTTTTTAGCCCCCTTTCTCCCCAATCCACCGTCTCCCCGAGAGGACCATATAGCTGAGCCATGCTTTACCTGGCTGGTTTGACTTCCTCCATCTCAGAGAGTTTAGCTTGAATGAGGCACAGCCCTGTTAGAGAGGAAGCAGCCCTGAGTGTTTGCAGGGCAAGGGGCTCCCTCCCTCAGGCTCAGCCTTCTCCCTTACCAAGAGGTAACGATGGTGGATGGAGAAAGGCCTATGTTTACTCTACACATATTCCATTTTGGTCCCTTAGTCTACAACTGGCAGGACAGGCCTGGCATCTACTCCCTTAGGACAGGCCAGCATCTGACAAGTCCTCCTTGGGCTGCATGCGAGACTCAGAGCTAAAGGGACAGCACTGAATGGTGACTCAGTGGTATCCCACTCCCAGGGCCCTTCCCAGTGCACTTCTGGGCAGATGTGACTCCCTTGCTCTAAGCAAAGTGGCCAGGGATCTCTAGGTGGCTTCCTGCATAGGGACAAGCTGGGTATGGGTTGAACTTATGGATGGGCAAATAGGCAGTTCCTTAGGGATCTAGTACAGACCCATGTCTGGTACTCAGGTCTCCTGATGTCTGTGTCAGGGCACCACCCCAGCCCCCACTGCTGTAATAATGGGCTGCAATGGGCTGAACAGGCCAGAGAGATCCCTCACAGTCAGGGGGCAAGATACTTGAATGAAGGGTTAAAAGTATAGACTCTGGACCCAGACAGCCTTCAATTTGAACAGGTTTGTCACTTACTAGCTCGGTTTGTCAAGCTTTAGGCAAGTCTGTTACCCTCTCTGAGCCCACACCTCCTCAATGGTAAACTGGAGGTCACAACTACACCTTCTTTCCCTCATAATGCTTGGGCAGGGGCAAGTACTGAGCAGACGTGGGTGATGGATAAATGCTGTAGTTACTCTCCCCAGCAGGTTTTGAACAGGTGGGGCAACGAGACCAGGGAGGCCCCATGAGTCTCAGCTGCGGGGCTGTGAGGGGATGCCAGGGGTCTGCACCTGGGAAGACGAAGATGAAGCAGGCGGCCAGGCCTCCGATGACTGAGATCACCTTGCCGATATCAGGGATGAAGAGTGCCAGCAGCAGGGTGAGCAGGAACCAGACCAGCGTCTGCAGCACGCGCCGGCGCCGCTCCCGCCCCACGTCCTCCTCCACCGGCATCCCCTGGTAGCGCAGCCACAGGCCTTCCACCACCGCCCTGCCCATGTGGAGAGGGATCAGAGACGCCCTTGGTGCTGACGGCCACCCACCCCTAGCTCACAGGAATCAGACCCCTCACGGGCAGATGGTGGGGAGGGCCCTAATACTGAGCTTCAGTTTCCTCTTTTGTAAAATGGGCCTACCAGTACTTTGGTTCCCTCAGACTAGATGAGATGGTGAATGTGGAGGGCTTTGTGCTTTGCTTCACTCTACAGAAACGGATACATTATTTTGCTAGGTGAATGGCTCATGCCAGTAATCCCAGCACTTTGGGAGGCTGAGGCAGGAATTGCCTGGGCCCAGGAGTTTGATACTAGCCTGGGCAATGTAGTGAGACCTTGTCTCCACAAAAACTAAAAAATAAAATAAAATAAAATAAAAAATTAGCCAGGCATGGTGGCATGAGCCTGTAGTCCCAGCTACGTGGGAGGCTGAGGTGGGAGGATGACTTCAACCCAATGAGCAACTGAATTCCAGTCTAAGTGATGGGGTAAGACCCCAACTCAAACAAAAAATAAAATAAAGAAAAGGATATGTTTTCTTCTTAAATGGAATGGTCTGGGGATATCCAAAAGGCTGGACACCCATGTGAAAGGTCAGAAAATAATCTGGATAGAGATTCTCTCTCTCTCTTTTTTTTGAGTTATAGTCTCATTCTGTCACCTAGGCTGGAGTGCAGTGGCATACTCACGGCCACAGCAGGCTCAACCTGCTAAGCTCAGGTGATCCTTCCAAGTAGCTGGAACTACAGGCATGCACCACCACACCTAGCTAATTTTTTGATTTATTGTAGAGATGAGGTCTCTCTAATTTGCCTAGGCTGGTCTGGAGCCCATGGGCTCAGGCAATCCTCTTGCTTCTGCCTCCCAAAGTACTGGGATGACAGGTGTGAGCTACCGCATCACGGCGGGATAAAGATTCTTACGGGACTCACAGAACATTCTGGTGACCCCAGGACAGCTCCTGAGACCTGGCTTGGGGTACCTGGAAGGCCATCCTAGGCGCTGACTCTTTTCTATGGTCTCCAGTTTCTCCTTCCACAGAATGGGTTCCACACAGGGTCAAAGTACCATGCTGAAAGGGCTCACAGGGGCTCTGAGGGGTCCTGGGGAACAGGAGGGCCCCAACAGGGCAGGAGGCTACTCACCGCCCACAGAAGTGCAGGATGGGGTAGGAGGTGAGCACACTCAGGATGATGAAGGCTCGGGCAACAGCCACAGCCATGTCCTCCGAGGGGTAAGACAGGAGCACATCGGGGTCCACAGCAGCTCCAAAGGTCAGGAAGCCACAGATGCCTGTGTGCAGGGACAAAGGGGCCGAATCAGAGCCACTCTGGGAGGGTGGGGTGGACTGCCTACTCCTGGTGCAACATCAGCCAGGGAGGATGCAGCAGCAGCTCCCGAGGCTTAGACTGAGGCTCAGAGGGGAAGTTGGGCTGGGATCAGATGCCCCCTCCCTGACTTCTCATATCCCCCCAGTCCTCCAGCCCCCCTGTTTTTTTTTAGTTGGAGTCTCACTCTGTCACCCAGGCTGGAGCGCAGTGACACGCTCACGGCCACCGCAGCTTTGACCTGCTGGGCTCAGGTGATCCTGCTGCGTCAGTCTTCCAAGTAGCTGGAACTATAGGTGTGCGCCATCACGCCTGGCTAATTTTTTCTTGATTTATTGTAGAGATGAGGTCTTGCCAGGTTGCCCAGGCTGGTCTTGAATCCTTGGGCTCAGGCAATCCTTTTACCTTGGCCTCCAGAGTGCTGAGATTATAGGCGTGAGACGTCGCACCCAGCCAGCCCCCACCTTTTTGATCTTGAACTTGCCCAGGATGTTTCTGCCTTAGAGCCTCTGCACTAACTGTTGTCTGCCAGATATTCACGCTGTCATTTCCTCATCATTCAGGTCTCAGTACAGATGTCCCTCCTCTGGGAAGGCTTTCTGCCATGCCACCCATGTGACCCCCATCCCAGGAACTCCCTCATATCGCCTTGTTTTTTCTAACACTCATTCTTCTCTAAATTTTTTTAAAACTGGTTTCTTGTCTGTCCCCTCTCCCCCGCCCAGAATGAGTCCCAGGAGAAGAGGGGTTTGCCCATTTGCCCCTCTTGTTTCTGGCTGTGTCTTCAGAGGCTAGACAGTGCTGCAGCCCACCTGGAAGGTCCCACAGGGGGCCATTCTTCCTGGTCTCCCAGCCCTGCTCCCTCATCCCGATTACTCTCAACACAGAAGCCAGAGCCATTTTTCCCTGAGCGACTCCCCTGCTTAGAACACTTCCTTTCTGGCTACAACAGCCCTTGAGGCCCAACAGATCTGACGCCCATGACCTATCTGGCCTCACGGCCTGCCACCTGTCCCAACTCACTCCACTCCAGTCACACTTACCTCCTTTCCGGTCCTGCCTCAGGGACTTGGCATTTTGTGGTTCTTCTGTCTAGTACGCTTCTCCCCCAGTTCTTTCTATTACAGCTCTTTCTCATCATTTGGGACCCCTCAGAGAGGAGCCATTTGTAAACCAAGTACCCCACCTAGTCTCATTCACAACTCCCCTTTTCACTGTCATCACAGCACTCGCCACCGTCTGGAATTTCTTATTGATCCCCTATTTTTTTTTGAGTTGGAGTTTCACTCTGCTGCCCAGGATGGAGTGCAGTGGCATGCTCACAGCCACCGCAGCCTTGACTTGCTGGGCTCGGGCGACCCTTCTGCCTCAGCCTTCCAAGTAGGTGAAACTACAGGTGTGCGCTACCATGTCCAGTTTATTTTTTGATTTATGATAGAGACGGTCTCACTAAGTTGTCCAGGCTAGTCTCGTACCCCTGGGCTCAGGCAATCCTCTCGCCCCTGCCTCCAAAGTGCTGGAATTACAGGCTTGAGCCACTATGCCTGGCCCCTAGTTACTCTTGATGACTGTCTTTCCAACGAGACTGTCAATCTCACGAGGACAGGACCAGGCCTATCTATCACCATGGCCTCCCCCACGCCGAGAACAGTTCCTGGCCCTTCCTAGGCACCAACTTAGAACTGGTGAGTGAAAAAATGAATACATCTCTCTCATCTTGGCAGCAGGAGACCCTAGGAAGCCCAAGTTCAAACCAATGCCTACAGGAGTATTTGTCATGCTGGGAGTACAGGCTGTCTCCAGGGAAGCTGGGTCAGGGGACCTGGGAACTTGAGATGGAGTGAAAACACTCCAATTCTGGTCTTTTGGGGGGAGCACTCACCTGTACCCATGTAGACAGCAAGAGCTATGACCATGGCGGCCGTCACCACCCCACCCCAGGTCTTCACCTCAGGCTGCCGCATGCTGTTGAAGACGGGTACACTGCTCACGTGGCACTGTCCAGGTGAAGGGCATAGTCATGGCAGGGAAGTCTTACTCCCGGTGTCTAGAGAGGACCTTGGGGACAAAGACCCCAGGGACCAGGGGCAAGTCCTGGGGCCCCAACTCCATCCTTCCTCCCAGGAATCCCCTCATCCTGCCTGCAACACGGGTCCATCCCACAACAGGGGAGGAGCGAAGGGGACAGTAGGGACCTTGCAACGGGCACCTGAAATCCGAAGCAGATGGTGGGCGTGGCGTTGAACACGGCCATCCAGGAAGTCGGCCTGTGGACGAACGCATAAGGCGCTACTTGGGAGCCCCTCAGAGTGACCAACCCTCCCCAGGCCCTGCCTCCTCATTCAACCCCCATGGTCTCCAGCAACCGGCATTCTGCACGTTCCAGCCACAGAAGTCTGGGAACAGGGAGAAGGCAACTGCAGTAAACTGAAGCTTGGGAAGGCCCGCCTGGGACCCAAATCCAGAATTGCTGGTTTCTGGACCAGGGCTTTGACTCTTCTGGTTTGTTCCTTCAAAAAAAGGAAACTTAAAAAAAAGACAAGACATTCATCCTCAAACAGACCGAGAAATTATCGATAAGCAGAAGTCAGAAAAACGTGCAATTCCACCCCAGTGGTCTCTACAACTTGAGGCCTACTCTTGCACTGGTTCATCTATTGGGTGTTAGTGGCAAAGTCCCCTATCTGTGGTTCTTACTCTTCCCTCCACTCACAAGAGATTGGGACTTCTTTCTTCCTTCCTTCAATGACAAATGAGACAGCCCTATGTGCCTTGGGAAGAGCGCCTGTGTGGCCTTTTGGTGCCTGGCACAGTATCTGCTGGGGCCCAAGTGGTGGTTTCTAGCCCATATGTCTCCCAGGGGCTCTCACTCACCTGGTCAGGATGTTTCCTGGGGTCATTTCTTTATCTGGCCAGAAGTACTTGATGATAACAATGGCAGTGACGTACCAAGTACCCACGACGCTCAGGAAGCTGCCAGAAAGGAGAGATTGAGCGTTCTCCTCTCTAGACCCAGCTGCCGTTTTCTGTTTCCTTTCCCATGGCCATCTACTCTCAGGCCTAGTGACTACAAGTGTCCACTGAATGACCTGGGAACTACGGCAAGCAAAGACTGAGGAGATGCCTGAGAAGTAAGTTTCAGAGAAACCTGCCACAGCTTGGAGGGAGCTGAACAACCAACAGGGGACCTGACTGATAAGTCTGGCCACCAAGAAATGTGCTGGCCCATGGCTCAGAGATCATGGCAGAGAGCTGGGCTCCAAGCACACCTGGAATTTCAACCAGAGCAGCCCAGCTTTGGTGCAGGCTGTGAGTAGACTATCCTCTCCACCTGGTCTTTGAGAACTAGGAGATGCCAGAGGTAAGAGGATTGAGAGTACTAATACTGAAATGTGAACACATAAGGGAGCCTTGGAGATAGCTGAGCGTCACCATCTACTTATAGACTGCGGACAGCCTAGAACTCCACAGCTTTTCAGACACTGAGCCAGGAAGCCAGTCTCCTCCTCTCATACCAAGCTGTATGGAAGACACTGCCAGGCTGGCAATCTCAAATGATCACAAATCCCATCCTCCCAGGGAAAGTCAAGGCCCAGGATGGCAAGCTGTCTTCACACTCCTGATCGCCACCCACCCCTTCTTTGACAGGGATACTTAGAAGCAAATCTCTCATTGATGAAAGGTCCGCTGTCTCCCTGGAAGAAGACAGAAATGGAAGGTCTTCTGCCTGAAACCCTGAAAGCTCTGGTCTGCCCTGGCTTGTCTGTTCTTGCTCCCCAAGGGTGGCGACAAGGAAGAGCAGGGTTCCCCAGCGGCCCTTCAGTCTCTAGCTGCCCAGTATCAGAGCTTCTGTCTGTCCCAGGCTGGGGTGGGAACCTGCTCCGCACCTGGCATATTTCTGGAAGCCGATCTCCCTGGGGATGGAGAGGGGCAGGATGAAGAGAAAGGCAGTGAGGCTGATGGTGAACTTGCGGTCTGTGTACCAGGGGCCGCCACTGGCCCCCTCAGGCTCCTTTGCCATCACAGCTATAACTGCACAAGGAGGAAGGAGGGAACGTCATGCCAGGCCACCACAGGGTACAGCCCTCCTGCTCTGCTGGGCTCCAGGACGTCCCTCTGTCTAACGGGCCCAGCAGCCTGGAGAAAGGATTCCCAGATGAATGCTGGGCCCAGGCAAATCCTGGGTCAGTGTTCGGCACCTTTTCCCTCCACCACAGGATCCCCAGGACCCAGAAGGAGAGGTAGGTACTGAGGAGGTGCCTCACTCTTGTCCTGCTGGTCCCCGATGATGATGAGGAAGGCGATGCAGGTGCCAAAGGTATAGACGGCGATGACCACCTCACACAGCACACCCGTCAGCTTGCCACACACAGCCCACACCACCTCCTGATAGGTCCTCTCGTTGCTGGCCTGGGAGCAGTAGGCCAGGATGACAAGGCCACTGATGATGAAAATCAGCATGCCCTGCAGGCAGGGGCAGAACGAGAGCATGCGGGAAAGGCCTGGCAGCAGAGGGCATTCTAGGCTGGCTCAGTACTTACTGGGCCAGTGCCCAAAGAGGGCCTGGCAAACCTCACTGGGCAATTTTAATAGACTGCCAGAGGTTGCCAAGTTGATATTTCCTTTAAGAGCAAAAACGAAAAGTGAAAAATTTCGAATATACAAAAGTAAATAGATTAGTATAATGAACTGTCACTTAGCTTCAAAACTGATTGATTCACGGTCAATTTTGTTTCACTGTGTTTCCCTTTCCACTCTGGATTATTTTGAAGTCAGTGCAAGCTATCGAGTCTTTTCATCAATAAGTATTTCAGCATGTAGTTTTAAAAGATAAGGCCCCTTTATGAATAGGACCACATTATCAATGTAACACCTAAAAAGTTAGATACGCAGTTGATGCTCAAATTTCTCTGATTGTTGGGAAGGCTTCTGAAACCTTATCTGGGCTCAAGGGAAAGAATGCTGGGATAGATTAGTAATGTCTGCCATGTGTGAGGGAAGGAACAGTGAGACATATGAGACATATGTCACCTACTAACCATCCCTGATCCAAAGCCTCCCTTTTTTTTTTTTTTTTTTTTGAGTTGGAGTCTCACTCTGTCGCCCAGACTGGAGTGCAGTGGCCACTCCTGGTGACCGCAGCCTCGCCTGCTAGGCTCCAGCGATCCTTCCAAGTAGCTGGAACTACAGGCATGCGCTACCACGCCTGGCTAATTTTTGATTTATTGTAGAGATGCGGTCTCGCCAAGTTGCCCAGACGGGTCTCGAACCCGTGGGCTCAGGCAATCCACTCACCTCAGCCTCCCAAAGGCGTGGGATTACAGGCTGAGCCACTGAGCCCGGCACCAAAGCCTCCCTTTTAAGGCAAAGAGCTCACCTGAATTGCACCTCTGCCCTCCCAGCCAGCACACTCACCATCTGTAGAGTGATGCCGGCTGCCACACCCCCAGCAGTGCTGAAGGCTGCTGGGAAGTTGAGCAGCCCTGCGCCAAGGCAGGCGTTGACGACAATGAAGATGGCCCCAAGCGTGGAAGTGGTGCCTCTGCCTGGACTCACAGGAGAGGCCTCCCACTCATTCTTGGGAGCTGTGTCCACACAGGGACTCTGTAGCAGCCGGGCTCGCTCCCCGGCATCTGTGCTCAAGCCCCACTCGCCCTGGTCACTGTTGATGCTGACATGGGCCATGGCTCTGAGAGTCCTCTTCCCGTAGTTCCTGTGGCTTCTGCCTCACGACCACATGCTCCGGGCAGTTGAAGAATACCCGCCTGTTTGGGCCTATTAGCCTAGAACTCCAATCTCCCTGGAGATGGATCTCAACCTAGATGGGACAAAGGTAGTTACTACTGTTATTTTATTGTATTTTATTTATTTATTATTTATATATTATTGAGTTGGATTCTCACTCTGTCGCCCAGGCTGGAGTGTAGTGGCACGCTCCTTGCCCCTACAGCCTCCACCTGCTGGGCTCAGGCAATTCTTCCACCTGAGCCTTCCAAGTAGCTGGAACTACAGGTGTGAGCTACCATGCCCAGCTAATTTTTTTATTTATTGTAGTGACGACGTCTCACCATGTTGCCCAGGCTGGTTTCGAACCCGTGGGCTCAGGCAATCCTCTCACCTCAGCATCCCAAAGTGCTGGGATAATAGGCTTGAGCCACCACGCCTGGCCTATTTTTTTTTTTTGAGTCAGAGTATTACTGTTGCCCAGACTTTAGGGCAGTGGTATGCTCATGGCCACCTCAGCCTTGACCTGCTGGGCTCAGGTGATCCTTCCATCTCAGCCTTCCTTTTTTTTTTTTTTTTT